AGAGAGAGAGAGAGAGAGAGAGAGAGAGAGAGAGAGAGAGATTGCCGACATATGTGGGCACTGATAAACTCTTGCGCATAAACACAGAGGTGAAATAGCAGACAAAAAGCGGAAGACGTTCCGTAACATTTTCCATCAACGGAACGGCACTGATAAACTCTTGCGCATAAACACAGAGGTGAAATAGTAGACAAAAAGCGGAAGACGTTAGGTAACATTTTCCATCGAAGGAACGAGGTCAGATCAGAGGAGAGAGTCGCAGACCACATCCACTCTTTACTCCCTTCAACTCAAGTCTTATGGACACCAATCACAAATTGCCCGACTTACACACCGGTCAGAATGCCTCCCTCTCTGCTGGGGTAAACTCTGGAGGCGACCGTATTTCCTAATATTCTATCCCCACGGTGGGATCTTTGTCACGTTGTTTGGCGGAGGAGCGGGAGGAGCGGGAGAAGGAGCAGGAGGAGGGATGGGAAAAGGAGCGGGAAAAGGAATGGGAGGAGGAGTGGGAGGAGGAGCGGGAGGAGCGGGAGGAGTGGGAGTGGAAACGGGAAGGGGCGGGAGGAGGAGCGGGAGGAGGAGCGGCAGGGGAAACGGGGAGGGGGTTAGGAGCGGGAGAAGGAGCACGAGGGGAAACGGGAAGGGATGGAGGAGGCACGGGAGGAGGAGCTGGAAACGGGAAGCGGGTTAACGAACGCGCGGGAGGCGGAGGAGCGGGAGAAGATATAGGTGGAGGAGGAAAAGCGGGAGGAGCGGGAGAAGGAGCGGGAGGAGGAACGGGGGAAAGAGAAGGAGAAGCAGCGGGAGAAGGATGAGCAGCAGGAGGGGGAGTGGGAGGAGGAGAGGGAGGAGGAGAGGGAGGAGGAGCAGGAGAAGGAGCGAGAGCGGGGCAGCACGAGGAGCGGGAGGAGCAGCAAGAGGGAGAGCGGAAGGAGGAGAGGGAGGAGGAGAGGGAGGAGGAGCGGGAGAAGGAGCGGGAGCGGGGCTATGGCAGGATCTTTGTCACGTTGTTTGGTGGAGGAGGAGCGGGAGGAGGTGGAGGAGTGGGAGGAGCGGGAGAAGGAGCGGGAGGAGTGGGAGAAGGAGCGGGAGAGGGAGTGGGAGGGGAAACGGGAAGGGGTGGAGGAGGTGCGGGAGGAGTGGGAGGAGGAGCGGCAGGGGAAACGCGGAGGGGGTTAGGAGCGGGAAGAGTGCAAACGGGAATGGGTGGAGGAGGCACCAGAGGACAAGCGGGAGAAGGAGCGGACAGATTGAAAGGGGGGCGGGGGACATTGATTGATTGACTGTTTGATTGATTTTATCCAAAACAAAAAAAGAGACCGCCCCATTCTCCTTTTTTGTTTTGGTTTTTCAATCAATCAAATCAACCATGTGTTCTAGCGGTAGATTCATTCGATTTTGCTCCTCATATCGATGAAAGTAGCATGAGACAATTATATTTCCATATTCCGGCGGAAGATTCATTGATTCATTCCGATTTTGCTCATCCTACACACACACGCACTCAAACCGACATTGCCACGCTTCAGGAAATGAGCAAAATGGGGTTGAATCTTCCCCAGAACATGGAAGTATCCACTGCCACGACATAGAAATCTACACTGCCAAAGACCGAAAATGTGGCAGTGCATACTTCCATGCTCTAGCTACAAATTCATTCCCATTTTGGTCATCCTGTGGATGGAAATCTCTCTCTCTCTCTCTCTCTCTCTCTCTCTCTCTCTCTCTCTCTCTGTGTGCACGCGTGCGCGGGGTGGGCCAACATTTGCATCTGACAGCTCCTTCGTCCATACTCACACCGGGATTTCTTTTTCCGATGTTCTTGCGGAAGATTCGTTCTCATTTTGCACATTGGCAGACTGCTCAGTTGATGCACACATGGAACTATTTAATTGGCCGTGCCTGGGCGTGCGAGTGTGTGTGTGTGTGTGTGTGTGTCTCACCCACACACCCACACACAGCAAGCGCGCGCGCGCGCGAGAGAGAGAGAGAGAGAGAGAGAGAGAGAGAGAGAGAGAGAGAGAGAGAGAGAGAGAGAGAGTTTTCCAGCCATGCATGCAGACAGATAGAGAGAGGCTACTTCCATCGATAGGATGAGAGAGAGAGAGAGAGAGAGAGAGAGAGAGAGAGAGAGAGAGAGAGAGAGAGAGAG